GTATGCACATCTCCGCGCCTTCGGTCATTCCGACCGTTGAGCGCGAGGCTATCGATCTGAATGCTCGGTGGGTACGTACCTGGAATATCGAAATGCTCCGGGTTGCCGGCATCATGGCACGCCTGGCTTTCATCAACGAAATGGCAGATCTGGATGAGAAGGTCAAGCGGTTGTCGTCGGAACACAACCTGAGGAAGGGATCAACCATCTCGGCAGCGGCTGTCCAAAAGTACATCCCTGAAGCTCTTCATATCCTTAAAACATACACCTTCCAAGACTCTACTCCGAGCTCCAAGGTCTCCAGTTATATCGAGGAAGCGTTTTGGACTTCATGGAAGCGTCCATCCATCGAGGTGTACTCGTCAGGTGGCGTCTTGCCAACAGGCAAGGTTCGCCTTTCGTCTGAAGAGGTGGGCAAATTCGTCGCGGGCATTCCTGTGGTTTTGAATGAGATGAAGGATGATCCTTTTATCAGGAAACTCATTGATTTCGATTTGATCAAGGACATTACCGTTGATGATATTTGTTCAGAACTCTCGGCCAAGGCGCTCGACAAGGAGCAACTTCGGAGCTTCATCCAGTGGGCAGCTACCCAAGCTGCCAATGCAGAACTTGACCGCCCGAGCATCCAGCGGCTTCTGGACGTCACCGTTGCTACTGTCAGCGAGGGCGGGGAATCTGGAGACATTATTGCTCTGGGCTCCATCAAGTACTACCACAGCAACAAGATTCCTGCCACTCTCCCGGTGCCCCCAGATACTCTGCCACACGTATTTTCGGCTAGCATCCCCGAGGTACGACTTACAGCGCTCGGTTGGTCTCCGCTGGGAATTGTGCCCTGGCTCAGGTTTCTGATTGAGTCTGGGCCCAGCAAAGGCGACGAGCACAACATCACCAAGTCGTCAAAGTTTGCATTACAGATTCTTGCGGTTCTTTCAAAGAATTGGGATAACCTGAGTGAATCTTCCAAGTCATCAGTCGTCTCGGCGCTCAAACATATAACTGTCATGCCGACCAAAATGGGGTTGAAGAAACCAGGTGAATCCTTCTTCCCCACTGTCAAACTGTTTGACGACCTTCCGATTCTGGATGGTTGTGCGAACATCAAGGAGAAGTTCTTGACGGCTTTGGGTGTGAGAAAGACGGTCGACCTCGAGACCATCTTCACCCGGCTCTTGAGTCCTACCCCCTCCGCTGGCGGTGCTGCACATGCCAAATGGAGCCACATGGAGCTTATCAAGTATCTTGCCTCAGTGAGCGAAGACATCCCACTAGCTGATATGAAAAAGCTGAGGGACTCGCCACTCTGTCCCGCCGAGGACGGACCAAAGGGAATGGAGCCAACCAGGGGCACCGCCAAACTTTACAAAGTATCAGAGCTCTTTGAACCTAAAGACTCCCTGAGGACCCTTGGCTTGCCTGTTCTCCAGTGGCCCGGCCCTCCGGGCAGCTTCAGGATCGGCAGCAAGGAGGGCAGGTTTCTTACCTCTCTTGGCCTGAGGCCGTATCCGTCCGTACCGGAGCTTGTTGAAATGATGGCATCGTCGGACCTGAGTCTCCGGACGAACGCCATGACTTACTTCATCTCCAACCATCACTTCAACAACTATGTCTCCTTTGACCTCTCGAGCACCACTAGAGCTATTCTTCCTATTGAAGGAAATGAGAAGCAGTTGATCCCTCCGTCAGCCTGTTATACCAATGAAGGCGCAGCCGTACTTGGATATAATGTTCTTCGCAGGGACTTGCATCCGCATGCGAGCAAGTTCGGTGTTAAGCGCGATCCTCCCATCACTGGATGCGTGGAGAAGCTCATTACAAACCCCCCGCGGGAACGTAGCATGGCCATCACCCTGTTTGATTATTTCAGCACGCGGTTGACTGACCTTAATACTGGTATCATCAATCGGCTGAGGGATGCACCCATCGTCCCCGTGATGAGGAAAAGGGACCAGTCTCTGGGTGGGAAGCCTGAGACAGCCCTAGTCTTTGCTCGTCCACAACATGTGTACCTGGGCAATTCCACAACATACGGCGAGATTTTTGACTTTGTTGATTTTGGGACCAATGCCAACACGTTCCTGTTCAAGTGTGGCGCCAAAAGCGAGCCAACCAAGTATGAAATTGCCCTGCTTGCCTGCAATGAGCCAGCGCGGCTCCTGAGTGTTTTGCAGAGCCCGGATAAGTATCTAGTTCTGCTTAGGACTCTAGCCGAGGACCTGCCGACGCTCAAGAGAGATAGGGAGCTGTACAAGAAGATGAAGACTTCCACTTGGCTGCTCGCTTCTCGAGAACTGTCTTCTGGAAAGGGCAAGGAATCGGACCTGTACGAGGAAGAAGAGGCACCTATCAAGCACTATCAGCTTGCTGCCCCTAGGGATATCGTCATCCTCGACGACTATATCAGCTACCGGCTTTTCAAGGACTCTTTGCTCTGTGCGCCCGAGGAAGATTCTCTGGAGGATTTCTACATGGCTCTCGGATCCGAGACCCTGGGCAGCAGAGTCGCCGAGAACGTCATTCCGGGTGCTCTGATGCCGAAGCAGGACGGTGCAGAATGGTTACGGAAGCACGTGCTCGAACGCTCCAAGATCTTTTTGCACGAGTATTCCCGAGTCAAGCGGGATGCGATCAAGCGAGATACCCGGTGGCTGGAGAAGAACCTGCAGGTTTTGGCCGTGGCTTCCGTTAGCCTCCGTCGGTCACTTCAAGGGCACGGCAAGACACATAATGAGAAGCGTTCGGCGGCTAGTGCCCAAGCTGGTAACAACTGGATTCTCTATGTGGCTGGTGGGGACAAACCAGACATGTACCAGGTCGGACAAGCTATTTGCCAACTTCTCCTGAATCGTCCCGGCCAGCAGGCTTACTTCTTCTTCGAACCATTCTTGAAGCTCGGTTTGTTGCAGCTGCGAGATCGTGGATACAATGTTGACCGCATTCTGCGTGTGAAGGCTGCCGAGGCCAGGATTGCGGAGGAGGAGCGGCGCAAGGCACTGGAGGCGGAGCAAAACCAGATCCGCGAGCGGAAGAAGGAGTGGGAGGGGCAGCAGCAGTCCCGCGCCGCCGAGGCCGCAAGGCAGGAAGCTAAGACCCCTGAGCGAGCTCGCGATCGCATGCCGGGCGCCTTTGGTGATTCGCCTGAAGATGAGCCCCATGCACTTCCGCCGGCGCAGCAGCACAAGCATAAGAGCAGGGGTTTCTTCTCGGACTTGACTCGCCGGTTTGGTTTGGACTCATCGGGCAACGATGATGATTCCGAATCTCGAAGGAGGCTTAATGACTTTTTACCTGATCGCCCCTTGGCGGAGGATGTCAAGACGCTTCCTCCCGCAGGAGGCGAACAAAAGCCCAAGGACGAAGGGAGAGTCACCTCGCCTGCTGTCGTTCAGCAGAACTTGCTCAACGCAATCCAATCAACCCGGGCGCACGACTCGACCAGTTTGTTCTCCCCGCCTACTCAGCAGGAAGTCAAGGAGAGAGCCACCTACTGCGACCAGACCCAGGCGCACAATATCACTTTTGCGGCTGAGGCGCCGCATGGTATGCGGGTATTTGTTGATCGGAATCTTTCAGTTGACGTGCCTACTTTCTTGTCGACCAACCTCGACGCGATCAAGGCTTTCGAGGGCATCCTGAGGGATGTAGGGGATGTGTACAGATTGCCTGTTAGGTCTGTGCATATGTTCTATGATGAGAAGGGTAGTACCATTGCGTTTAACAGCAGCGGCAGCATCTTTTGCAATCTGAGGTTTTTTAATCAGCTGCATTATGGGCCAGGGAATATCGGAAGCGGAAAGGAAAGGACCGAGGCGACGACTTGGTGGTGGGTCGTCTTAGCTCATGAGCTGGCTCATAACATTGTGCAGCCGCACAATGCGGAGCATAGTTATTATACGTAAGTTCCATCCAAAAGGAACGTTGGAAATCAAAATTGTGGTAGCTAACTTTTCTGGGGATGATGTAGGGAGTCGTTCGTTCAGCAATATTTCCCGAACATGATGGCCAAGGCTGCTTCGTGGTCGACGGGGGTTGACGGAGCTGGTTCGGGTTCCTCGGCGGCAGCGGTGCCTTCGGCTTCGGCTTCTTCGCAGGGTGGTGGTGCAGGGGGGGCGGCGTCTAGACCGCTTCCGCCTCCTCCACCTTATAGCGTTGGACCTGGTGGGCCTGGTGGTTGGATGTAAGGAGGTTGGAGTAAGAGATGGGAGACATTGTTTAGTATCATGTTTCAGGTTCATATATCATCTCAAGAGCGACCAAGGGAGCTGAGAGAGAGAGAGAGAGAGAGAGAGAGAAAGCTTTGATTTTTCGTTTGTTACAGGGCATGAGGGTTTTTGCTTGGGATGGAGACACACTTGGCTTTTGCGGGGAGTTTGTGGATGGTAGGTAATGTTGGATGCATTAGACTAGAACATGACAGACAGAGAGATAGAGAAGGGCATGCGGGTTAGACCATCTCTGCTTTTGTTGTTGTTGCTTTCCGGAATATAACCAATTTTTTATGACTGGGATCCGAGACCAGGGCAACAATGGATGGGAAGTTTTTAGTCTCGGTGTCGTTCGGTCTGTTCATGGCCTGTTGTCGCTTTCATCTCTGATTGTTTGCCTTGGACAATTATGTGGGGGGGGAGGGGATTCTTTTTCTCACTCATCATGCTCTCATCATTCCGATCATTATGTTACAATTTGCGACTGTTCAGTGGGAGACGTTCTTTTGGGGTATGATGTGTTATTGTTCTGTTGGTCTTCCTGCCGCCTGAGAAGATCTCCACGTGCACGACAGATGCAGCTTTAATTATTCGTATGTTTGTATATATGTATTTATTTTTATTTTTATGAGAGTCAATGTTAGGCAGCGAAACGGTGATATAATCAGCTTCTTTTTTTCAAAAGGTTCAACCTCAACACAGTAGTCGTTGACCAACAGGCGGAGAGAGAGAGGGACCTTAAACATAAGCCGTCTTGCTGGTGCCAAATTCCACTCTTGAAACAAAGCAAAAGCAGGCATGGCCGAGTGGTTTAAGGCGATGGTTTTAAGTTAAGTGTGTTTAATTACAAAGACAACTTTTCACCATTATCGAGAGATGCGTGGGTTCGAACCCCACTGCCTGCATTTGATTTTTTTTTTTTTTTTTTGGTTTTGTTTTCCTTCCAAAATGCAATGGTCGTATGATGACGCCGGTTTTCTTTTCGCGGTTGGTTCCAGCACACGTACATGCGTTAGTCAAAGACGAACTCCTTTCTTCTGCGGGGTAAGTAAGGAACGCTCGGAATAAGGAAAGCGGGGGGGGAGACGGGGGAAAGAACAAGGCGTTACAAAACATGCCGAAGCATCACCGAATGTGATCCGACGTTGGAAGTATGTAGTACTTGCTCGCATGGTTACCAACTACCGAAAAAAGATGTGGGAGTTTTTGAATGAGCCGGTTTTCTGTTTTTTTGTGTTTTTTTTTTGTGGTGGTACATACATGTACATGTACATTACATGCTATGCTACTCGAGGACGACGGGAACAGTTTCACAGCACACCCAACACAACCCCCCGATTGATGGGCGATGAGGGGAAAGTTGACCCGCATCATGTATGTGGTCGGATGGAGATGCAAGAGATGGCAACGTGATTGCCCCTCAAGGTACTTGCTCGTCTCGATGGAATGGCATGGCTGAAAGGGAGAGCATTTTTTGGAGTAGGCGTCTGATGCCGGCTAAACCGTGCCATCCATCTTTGGTTGGTCAATTGATCATGATGCTGTGTAAAATGTATCTGAATTGACCAATGGAATAGATTCCGAAGTCTCTCCTGTCTCCCACACACGCCCCTTGGGGCATTTCACCCGACCTTCCCGATCCAAGATGAGGGGAAGGGCACGAGGATCTATGATGAAACTCACTCGTAGTAACAATGAATCTGAGCCAAAGCAGATCGGCTCTGTGGAATACCTTACACAGAGAGAGAGGAGAAAGGGGAAAGGGAACGTTTTTGACATAAATAACCCCCAACGGTCCCCCGGTACTTTTTGAACATCTCATCATTCATTCCGTCTTCTCTTGTTTTATCCCCTCTCTCGGTGTCTGAAGGAACGGCCGAACCAAACGAATCCCACCTGCCATTGCATTTTGTCGCGATATTTATTTATATATATTTACCGTTCCGTCTTGTATTCGTGTCCTGCCTGGTACCACGGGAGAACGTATAAGAACCCCTCTCTCCCTCTCTCGTCACATCCCAGAAGATCCAATCCATTCAACATCTCAGTCAAAAAAAATAAGCTTTTGTCAAAATGGTACTACTCGCTCGCTGCTCCTCCTCCTCCTCCTCCCGTTCCCTTTTATCATCATTTGCCTCAACTTCTTCTCGTTCATACACCACCACCACCACTCGCACCTCCTTCTTATCTCCCTCCTCCTCCCTGTTTTTCGGCAAGACGAGACGATTGCCACAGTTTGCAAAAACAACGACACGCCTGCTAACGACTCAACGTGAAAAGGTCAAAGTACTCGCTGTTCTGTACGACGGTGGAAAGCACGCCGAGCAGGTAAATTCTCCCCCTATTATCACACGCACTCCGATCACCTGTCTTTCCTGTCTCAGTCAATGAGAAAGCATGATGGGATGGTGAATGATGTCGAATTGCGGGGTCCTCAGGCAAGGGGGTAGTACTCGGAATTGTTCGGGGAAGTGGGGGGGGGGGATTAATATGCATGCGGGAAGGGAAGGGAAAGGGAAGGGAAGAAAACGGTTGAAGAAGAATAAGTCGAAACAAGCAAAGTCGCTAACCCCACACTTTTTTTCACCAATTGTTTGTAGGTCCCAGAACTCCTCGGAACAACCGAAAACGAGCTCGGCATCCGCAAGTGGCTCGAGGACCAAGGACACACCCTCGTGACGACCTCGGACAAGGAAGGCGAGAATTCAACCTTTGACAAGGAGCTCGTCGACGCAGAAGTCATCATCACCACCCCCTTCCACCCGGGCTACCTCACCGCCGAGCGCCTCGCAAAGGCCAAGAAGCTCAAGCTCGCCATCACGGCCGGCATCGGCTCCGACCATGTCGACCTCAACGCCGCCAACAAGACCAACGGCGGCATCACCGTCGCCGAGGTTACCGGCTCCAACGTCGTCTCCGTCGCAGAGCACGTCGTCATGACCATTCTCGTTCTCGTCCGCAACTTCGTCCCTGCCCACGAGCAGATCGAGGCTGGACGGTGGGACGTCGCCGAGGCGGCCAAGAACGAGTTTGATCTCGAGGGCAAGGTCGTCGGCACCGTTGCTGTCGGCCGCATCGGCGAGCGCGTCTTGAGGAGGCTCAAGCCGTTCGACTGCAAGGAGCTGCTTTACTATGACTACCAGCCTTTGTCTCCCGAGAAGGAGAAGGAGATTGGGTGCAGGAGGGTCGACACCCTTGAGGAGCTGCTTGCTCAGTCTGATGTGGTTACTATCAACTGCCCGTTGCACGAGAAGACCAGGGGCTTGTTTAATAAGGAGTTGATTGCCAAGATGAAGCCTGGTATGTTTCTATATTCATCTTTTTGTTCATCATGCTGACGGTAAAACCAGGCTCTTGGCTCGTCAACACCGCCCGTGGCGCCATCGTCGTCAAGGAGGACGTCGCCGAGGCTCTCAAGTCTGGCCACCTCCGCGGCTACGGCGGTGATGTCTGGTTCCCTCAGCCTGCTCCCGAGGACCACGTCCTCCGCACGGCCAAGAACCCCTTCGGTGGTGGCAACGCCATGGTCCCTCACATGTCTGGCACCTCGCTCGACGCCCAGAAGCGTTATGCTTCGGGCACCAAGGCTATCCTCGAGAGCTACCTGTCTGGCAAGTTCGATTACAAGCCTGAGGACCTGATTGTGCATGCTGGTGACTATGCCACCAAGGCTTATGGCGAGCGGGCCAAGAAGGCAACCGTTGATGTTGCTGGCCCCTAAGGGGAATATCTTCTGTATATAATTATTGTGTTTCTCGAGCTTGGGGTAGCTTCTTCCTCTTTTACTGGCTTCAGCCCAGTTTGTCTTTTGTATTTTTTATATTTTTTTTGTATGAGGAATGAAATGACATTATTGCAATCAAAGTAACCCAGTCAGGGTTATCTCAAGTTTCATAACTGCATTCATTCTCTGGACGAAAGAGTCTCCCGATTATATTCTCTCCGTTTCCAAAAGCTCACATGTACGCACCTCCGGTCCCGTCACGTGTAATATTCATGTTGCTCTGACTTTGAAATTAAATCGTATTTATCCAATTCCAAAAAGAAAGAGAAAAACGCTGTCAATCTAGACCGCCGTATAAATGTACTATGTTCCGGGTAACAAATTTCAGACAAGAAGAAAAACAAAAGGCCCTACAAAGGCTGCAAATCCTCCCTACAAATAGGACAAACCAACCGCTTCCTAAACCACTGCTCCAAGCACTTGGTATGAAACATGTGCCTACAAGGCGTAATCATGTACTGCTTCCGCTCCATCATGTCCGCCATGCTCCAGCTCGGATCCTGCCTCCCCGCCATAACAACAGGAATAAACATCTCATCCCTACAAATAGCACAATCAACACTCCTGAGCGTCATCCCTCTCTGCTTCAGCTCCTTTGACTTCCCCCTCAGTTGTCCTCCCACTTCCCCGACATCAGACCCAATCAGCACCGCCCCGCTCTCGACATCCTCCTGCCTCAATATCCTGTGATAATCCCAAACCTCAGGCATCCATCCCATCGGAAACGGTATGCCCAACCTAGGCTCCCACACTTCTTGCGCGACCATGACGCAGCACTGCAGCCAAACCCAGCCCACCAAGAATGCAAACGCCACGGTATCGATCTCGACAAAGAGGAAGTTGTCTTCCCAGAGGTAAAAGTAAGAAAACGGCAAAAGTCGACAAACAGATTGGCCGACGGTAAAAGACCAGGAAAATGATTTTCTCGAATTTCGTCGTGCGTTGCGCCAGATCTGGGGCCACCAGATGGAGAAATATGAGAAGGCGACGAGGTTAAAGTATATCGCTCGAGCGCGAGGCGGCCAGTTTAGTGAAAAGGCTGTCATGACCAGAAATGCCATGATTATGAAGACGAAGGCTGCGCCATGGGTCCCGAATGGGTGTCGCGAAGTCCTCCCGGCGGCGCCAGGGACGGCCGTTGCACCTGCTGCTGTTACTTCTGCGATCTCGGCGTCGATGTCTTGGTCGGAGGGGATAATGATAGGTGGAGAGGGTGGCCGGGGCGGGACGGCTGTAGCAGGCAAGGGGAGGGCGTCGTTGGAAGCTTGTGTTGCTGTTGCTGTTGCTGGCGGGGCAGCAGGTGTTGCAGGTGTCGCTCCAGAGGCATTGGTGTTGTTGCGGGCTTGTTCTCGCTCACGTTCTTGGGCTCTCCTCTCAGGGCTGTTTTGGTGTATAGTCCCCAGGAATCCTGCCCCAACAGACGCCGACAGGAAACTGACAAAGGTGAGCAGCATTGTAGGCTGGAAGGTGGAGACAGCTTGAAACGACCATGTCAATGAGCATGTGACGACTAAACCGTCGGCCAGCACCATCATGAACATGGTGTAAAAACTGAGACGGCTGAGCGTGGAGGGCGTCGGGGACTCCTTGATCTGCGTCTTCAAAAAGTATATCTGCCCGATGAATGTGAAGACGAAGGCGAGCAGTGAGTAATTCACGCGGGAAAGCAACACCTCCCCTTTCACACCCACCAGATGGTGCCCTTCGGCTGATGGAAATAGAGGGGGCCCCTTAGACTCGATATAGTATGAACAGTCGGGAGACCAGGCAACCATAGACATGTGAAGTTCTGGTGTCGCCTTCCATGGTGCTCCGGTGGGAAATCGGAGCTCCTTTTCCAACGTCTCCACAGCCGAACTACCAGGCGGCACCAGCACCGAGGGACTGGCGCCCAAGTATTGCTGGTCAAGCTGATACAGCTGCAGATACACGATGTATTCGCAGCGTGGTACTGGCCCTTGATCATCCTCAACCACAGCAGTCCAAGGATTTCCCGGATCCGTGAATCTGCTTCGCTCCTTCTTGCGAAGAACCTTATCCAGGGTGTGATTCAGGAGCTTTTGGCTTGTGCGGGAAAAGTCGGCATCAGGAGCGAGATGTGGCAGACCAAAGATGCCAGCA